AACACTTTTGTATTGTAAGGCGTTTTTAGACTAGTCTCAGCTAGCGCTGGTTTTTGCTAGTAATCATAAGGCAAGTCAAGAGTTTATTATACTTTGATTACATGCATTTTAAGAACACATACACTCGTACATACATACATTCGTTGGAAATATGAAGAATAAAGCATATTAGCTATTCATGTATATACATATAAATGTATGTAAATTGTATGTATGTATGTAAAATATGAAGAAATATTATAAATAATGCCTTCAGAATTGACTACATCCGCATAAGTGCACCACATAAAGTTGCCGCCAGTGGCTATGTGGCAAGTATTTACACCATAACATATAATATAGTACGTTCTTTTATACACATTTTTGTTCTTCTCACAATCTGTCTAGGCTAGGTTTTCTACTAGCTCTGTGAACAGTTGAAACGACCTTGGACAGCGACGACGGCGACGACTTAGAGTAACTTTGGTGTTCTTAAATGCGCTTGATACATATTTACAATGAAGCTTATATAATAAATATGCGTTTGCAAGCAAATTACTTTATTTATTTGTAATCTAGGATGCATATAAGTGTTGGTGAAAAACAAACAAAACAATTATCTGGTAGCTGTGACTCAGCCTTCGATAAGTTCTTGCTGCAATTTCTCAAGTATCAAGAACCAAAACATTTTCTGAACAACTAAAGTCAAAGCTTATTTAATTGCTCGATCATATATGTACATAACTAGCATTCATATCCAATAATATTTGTATTTTATTTATTTGTTTAGAAAGTAGTTTTTTATTTTTTGTTATAAAAAGTCAGACTTGTTTTATTTTTTTGTATTGAACTCCAAAGTTGTTGAATTGCTCTTTTATGCCTGACTTGTTTGATTAGTGAGTGATTTCATATTTTTGATCTAGAATATGAACTTTTTTTGGGCTTTTCAATGTTAGTTGAAACTCGTTAATATGGTAACAATTAATCAGCTGCGATTTTTTCATCGAAATATTTTATTTAGTTTGCCAAAATAGTTCCTACTGTCCTTTCGACCCTAATGTATCTAATTTCGCAGGATGTACCATCTCTTGCGTGCGTGTGTGAAAATCAATTAATTTTGACGATAACCATTTAGACTTTTTAGGTACATTTCTTACATCTGAATCTATAAAATTTTTGTGTACTCTTTTTTTAAAACACGCTCAGTCAAGTGGCCACAGTGACTTCTGTTTAAAATTGTGCTGAATATGAGCTTTTCAAAGCATGTCAAAGCAATTCATTTGGTTGGCATTGTTCGCAGTTACTTAGGGTTTTCCAATAAGAGGTGGTATTTTGGTATTCAAAGAAAAATATCACTTTTTGAGATAAAGCATCGGATGCTTTTTTAAATGTAAAGAGATACAGCCAAGGGGTCGTCATGGCTACGTTTGCAAGACCGTATACCTTTTTATGAAATTTTCCATTACCAAAGTGGCCTCAATAGCTTCACGAACTCCAATCCTTTATCTCTTATGTGGTCTTAAAGTAAGAAGTTGCAAAGTGTTAAAACAAAGCATCTCCGTGACCACGCGTATTCGTCTCTTCGAGAGATAACACTGTGCGGAAACTTTTACCTTAAAAGATCGATGATTTCGTTACTTATGTATGACCGTAAGCGTTGCCCAGATAAATAACACCTATATCCGGCCATAAAAATTCACTTGTCAACAGTCCGGTTGATTTTTCGATGATATTTCGGGTAATTATGATGCATTTAAAAAGCCTAATCGGCAAAGACACGACGTTGTTGATGATCCGCCAGCTTAAGTTTTTGTGTTAAATGATTTTTACAAGCTTTAAGACCCAAGTCTTTATGCAAAATAAATAGATGTAGTAGTTTGAGGTATGCTAATTCCAAAGGACGACGAGAAATGAATAAACCTGGATTTTCTTCACCACTTTTGGCTGCAGCAGCAATATTCTGATAATTATCGGTGTACCTTTGTGCACATCCGGAAACTTTTGTTAGGAAAACGGAATAAGAATTCCGTATTAATTAGTTATACTTCTAGATTTTGAGGTAAAGGCGTTTTCGCGAATATTTTATATCTTCGAGTTGCCCATACTCTTGGAATATACCTCTGTAAAAAAACATATTTTGTTTTTTACTTTTTTCAATAAACTTTAGTTCGTTTCCTTTTATTATGTATGGGGTTGCGCGCTCATATCGGTGGTCTAATTTGAGAGTTATTAATTCAACAACTGGCGTTGTTTTTATTTGACAATTGTGAAAAACTACAGCTTCAAAAGTGACTTCTACCCAGGTAAAAGGCTATTCAAAATAATACCTCTAATAGGTAAGCCCTTTATAAATACCAACATTAAAAATATTGTACCCCTTTCAGGGCTGGATCTAGTGGAGGTAAGTGGGTGTCATATCCCGCATGAGGTCCATTCCTTAAATATTTATTTTAGTCATATATCGTTAGAAATATTTAACTTGGGATACATTTATTTTTGAAATAGGCTTTTGAATCAATTAGAAAGAAATAATATAAAACAAAGTGTGCCATTTATTGCTCCTCTAGAGTGATCGAAAAATCCAACAGACCGGTGGCTGAAACCAGTGACAGTGGAGGGTCGCGTTTACACTTGTCTCTTACATAAACAGCTACAGATTTGTTACTGATCAGCGGCTATAACTTATATGGGAAGAAAGAGAAGGAATTTACTTGTTAACTTAAAGCATTCAGTAAGTAGGTTTTGATTCAGTAAAGCGAATCGGAAGAATCAATTCTGGCAGAACGTGCATTAAAATCGTTGCACAAGCAACTAAAAATGTCGGGCATAAAGTTTTTTTTGTATAAACAAAATGAAAGGGACCTAAAGTTAAAGTTAAGCTCGGTAAATAGGATTGGTCTAGGTAAAGCAAAGGTAATACAAAATATTAGTTATACTAATTATTTCAAAACAATAATTAAATTAAAATCCACAGCGATTAAAATACATAAAATTTAAATGATGGGTGCTGAGCTCTGAGTTTGTCTCTGTGGACACATATTGCTATGCGTTTTGCTTTATTGTTCATTTCGTGTTATAACTTTGAAGATATCTACATAGAGCGGTGAAAATGAAATCTCGTTGACTCCATATGAGGTTTCAGACAGGGCGATTCCTCAATCGAGTGACTTCTTTAATTTATTTCTGGAGAAAATCATAAGAGCTGCAGAGCTGAATAGACAAGTTATAATCTTTTCAAGCGTAAGCAACCATTGACGTTTGCCGATAATATTTATATCTTAACAACCGCGCCATTGTTATGCTTTCTCCAGACTCGATAAGGAAGTGAAGCGCATGGGTCTGGTAGTGAGCGAGGACAAGACGAAATATCTTTTGTCATCAAGTAAACACTCATCGCGTTCGCGACTTGCCTCCCACGTTACTGTGGACTGTTATAACTTTGAAGGTGTAGATAATTTTGTCTATTTAGGAACCATCATCAGCCCAAATAATAACGTTAGTCTCGAAATCTAGCGCAGAATCACTCTTACCAATAGGTGCTACTTTTGGACTGAGTAAGCAATTGAAAAGTAAAATCCGCTCCCGACGAACGAAGACCAAATTCTAAATTGGCGCTCTTATTTCCAGTCCCATTATATGGTGCGGAAGCAAGGACGATGGCAAGATCTTATGAGTTGTTCTTAAAAGTTTTAAGGTTTTGCGTAAGATTTATTAACTTTTGCGTGCTGATAACAGTGAATACTGCAACCTATGGAACGGTGAGCTGTACGAGGTATATGACGACATATTTCCACAAATCAAAAGATAGCGGCTACTCTGGGTAAGCCATGTGGTTTAGGTAGTTAAGAAGACTACAACTTTGGAAGTTTTCGATGTAGTGCCTGCCGATGGTAGCAGAGTAGGAGGCAGACTAAATACAGAAGGACCTGGCTTTACTTGGTATTTCCAATTAGCGACAAGCAACCAAAAACAATTTTTAAATATTTCGAGGTTTATTGGTTATACCAGGATTCCAAAATCTTCCCAACCTTGCTTGTTGTTTTAAATTTCCTTTCCTTGCTTTAAATTTACTTGTTATATGAAGTAAAAGACATACGAAAAGCTTATTTTTCTTACGAATTTTTATTATTCAAAAAATCATTTCGTCTTAACACATATTTACACATTTACAAAATACATACATAGAGTATATATATAAAATTAATTTATACATACACAGTAAATAGAGAGAGAATGATAGTGAAAGAGATACACATTACAATATATGAAACGGAATGTTGAAAATGATTTCCAAAATACTAATTGATGATTGCGGCAAGCTGACGAATAACAAAATGAAAATTAAAATATTTAATTTTGTTTGTTACACGCATTTGCGCTATTACGAAAAATACACTAAATGTTGCTAATTTAACATATATATGTATGTAGTAGATAGTAGTAATGGGTTTCATATAAAAACTAATTGGCAAATTTTGAACAAAATGCATTTGTGTCAGGACATACAGAGTGGGAGAGAGATTTGAAGGAAATAAAGAGTAATCGCTCCTTTTCTTAATCTCTCTCAGCTGTTTTACAAACATAAGTATATCACATATTTATTTTTCGCTCTGTGTATGCACTGAGAGATATGCATTATTTTTCAATTAGGTTTTGAAAAGAAAAACAATAATTTGTAGGTGCGTCTACTAACAACTGAAAGGCACAACTAAACCATTTATATTTTTTTCAGTGAATTAAATTTGAAATATAAGCAGCTAGTTATGTGTTGTTCTAGACAGGAAGCTCTCTATGTTTTCTTTCTCTTTTTAAATAATTTACAAATTTTTGAAAATCTTAAAACTAATTGGCAGGGTTTACACATATATATATTTATATGGAGATAGCAAAAGAGGGATTTTCAGTGGCAGCGAAATTATTTGCTGGGAAAATAAATTTTCTTTCTAAGGTTTTTACCTAAATGGTTCTAACCTTTTTTGTTTTGAAAATTTCTATTTCAAACTCTGAAATTTTTTTATTTATTTTCCTTTTCCCATTTCGCTGCCTTACTGAAAATTCATTAGAATTTGTGTATTTTCGCGTATTTTTTATATTGGCTTTCGCTTTCATCAATAATTTGTTTGATTAATATTTAATTTTATTAAATTTTTTTTCTCGTCGCCTTTGATCGTAATGTTTTCTCTGCTTTCTTTCTAAATGTTCCGTTGTCGCCTTGTCGGCAAACATCCGTCTCCTCATAATTTCATAATTATAACTAAAATTCATTCAATTAATTCCACCTTCTTTGCTGAAATCATATACACAGTAATCGTAGAAGTGCCGCTCTTCTTTTTTTCGTCTCAAGACTTACTACTTTTTATGTGCATAACCGTGGCCGTGACCGATGGACGAGTAGGAATAGCCGCTGGATGAGAAACCATGACCACCATAGCCGCCATCATGTCCATAACCGCTACCGCCGGCACTGATTGCTATGGCCGGACCATGTTCAACTACCGAGTGGCCGGCTACTACCGGTACGGGTACGGGCACGGCAACGGGCCGTTCAACATGTACCGGCACTGGACGTGTCACATGGACGGGATACGGACGATCAATGGCCACTTTGACGGGCACTGGTACTGGACGGTCGACTGTGTAGGGTACGTGCTTCTCAACAGTGTAGGGTTGTGGCACATCTACGGGCACTTTAACGGGATATGGACGATCAACGGGCACGGGGTAGGGTCTGTCGACGCGTACTGGTACCTCGACCTTAACTTGCTTTTCCACTACAACTGGGTACGGCTTCTCGACTGGCACTGGGTATGGTTTGGGTACAGCGACGGGCACTGGACGATCGACTGGCACATGTACGGGCACTTGTACATGCTTGATCACTTCGTAGGGCTGTGGAACTGGCACTTGCACTTTAACCGGCACCTGCACATGTTTAATTACTTCATAGGGCTGTGGTACGAGCACTTTGACAGGCACTTGCACATGTTTGACAACTTCGTAGGGCTGTGGCACTGGCACCTTAACGGGATAGGGACGATCAACTGGTACGGGCACTTTAACTTCAACGCGTTTCTCAACAGTGTAGGGTTGTGGAACGTGGATGGGTACTTTAACGTATTCCTTTACCGATACTGGCACTTTTCGTATGACTTCGTAGGGCTGTGGCACTGGCACTTTCACCTCCACAGGCACGCGTTTCTCATGTACAACCGGATAGGGACGATCGACTGTTACGGGCACTGGCACACCCTTAGTGATGGTGATTGTCTTGTGTACATCGGCAGTTTTGCTAATAAGGAATGGATGATGTGCTGCACCGGCAGTAGCGTAGCCTGTATGTCCATAAGCAATGGCTGAGGGTGCAGAATGTGCGCTGATTAGGCCATAACCTTGTCCATGTTCGATACCGCCATGTCCGATGTAGCCGACATCAAGTCCGGAATGACCGTAGCCATAGCCGAGATCAAGTAGACCGCGTTTGTCGAGCTTCTTCTCGAGTGGCACTTTCTTGCCCGTTGCAGAGCTGCCTGCGGCCTCGACAGTGGCTTTCTTGGAGGTGGTGTCGCCGGCGTAGGCAGTGGCCACAAGCAGTGCGGCTAGACAGATCTGGAGATGGAGAAGAGAGAGATGGAGAGAGGGGATATTATTAGTTAGATAGGCATATGTTTAGTGAAGATAATTAAATTATGTAAAAAAAACGAAAACATAATTTCATATCAGAACTCTTTGCTAGAAAATAATTTACAATAAAAAAATATAAACGTCTAGCTCAGTTTGTAGCTCATACTTTTTAGAAAAAGAAAACGTTGACGGGCTCACCAAGTCAATTTCTTGCTTCAATTTTCATAACATATCTATTCTTCAATCGCAGCTTTACGTTAGCTTTTCTACGTGTTTGGCATAAATTACATAGAAAAATTGGAAAAAATAAAGCAATTACTTCGTAACACCTAAAGAAGCGCCAAATTAAGCAATCGAACGATCGGCAAGCGAAAGTTGCAGCGCCCAAATGGCCTACCATAAACCATGCTACCAAACGTTGGTGCGAACAGTGGGTGAAATTGATTTGAATACCATACAGTAACAATGCTAATAAAATTATATAATAATGTCAATGAAATTGTGAGCATATAGCTGAATTTTTGTTGTTGATTAATGCCATTGCAACTACTAATTAACGAAATAACTTAATAAAGTGTATGAATGAAGAATGTGGACTTAATGTCAATAAAAATGTAGGCCTGCATTATTGGGTGTAGTCTTTTATGGACACATGCAGTAGCAGTTCCGCGAAACTTACGCAGCTGATTGATAATTGATGGTTATAAAATTCGTTAAACATATGGTATCTTTAACTAATTTATTAACTTATTGAAGTGCTGCTTAAAAACCTATATCTGCATAGAATCGCAAAGCCATTGAAAACATTAATAATGATCGTTTTATACATCTAGCTTGATTTTTAGCCAGTCATTTGAATCTGGTATTTTTTTGCTTTTTTGTTTTGTTTCTGCTCACGGCATTTACACTTTGCATGCACATTTGCTTGGTAGCGTTTAACGACTTTTATGACTGTTTTATTGCCTGTTTATTTTACAATGTGCCTGCTATTCGTTTCGGGTAAAGCAAATACTGCCATTGAAGGCGTGTTCATGGAGAATAGCATGTCGAGCAGCGCTTTGTTTTGGTTTGGTTCGCTTTATAAAGTTATTTTCTTTTAACAAGTCTCTTTTGCTTTGTTTTATACTGCTTTTTCTTTGAGTACGCTTTTCTTGAGTCGTCAGTTGTTGTGTCTGTATAATGAGGCATTTCGCATGCTTGGAAGTGCTTTGGTTTTTAAAACGGAAGCGGTGCTGATTTTGCAATGTGTTTGGTGCCAAAATTTATTGCTCTAATTAACCGCTTTTGCAAGCTGGCGAAAATTTTGATTATCTGATATATGGCAAATAAATCCTTTAGTGTGAAATGCTCTAGTTTTTAGATATTTTTTATTGAAGATTTTAAGCGCCTAAATAGATCAATGTCTCAGACAGAGTATAAAAGTAAACACTGTTTATTAGTAGTATTATTAGTTTAAAATATTCTTTTATTCATAGAAAAATTTTTTTTAATGGGCTTAAACTTTTTTCAAAATTTTGTAAAGTCTTTGTTAATTAAGACTTTTTACGGATTTTGATGAAAAGCTATTAATTGCAAAAGTTGTTTCTTAAAATAATACATTTTTTAAGTTTGTTGCATTTGTTTTTCAGAAATATTCTTTTATTTTTCTTCTTTTTGAATTCCTTTCAAATAAATTAAAGAGAAAAAAAATGAAAATAAAAAGAAAAGTCTTTATTTTTCTTGGACTAAATAATTGTATTTTATAGATCTGTTTCAATTTCTCTACTGATTTTTAAATCAGAAACCCAAATTGATTTAAAATATTTTTAAATTTTTCTTAATTCCCAGAATATTTTTTTAATATGTTTTAAATTTTTTTGGTGGGCACCATAGTACGCAATTATTTTCGGAAGGCCAGGATTCGAGTCTTGATCCAAACATATAAATTATTGGAAAATTATTATCACTACATTTGGTTGCCCGACAGCAAGGAATGCCAAGCCTTCCGAGTGAAAAAAAAGCCATTGTGGGTGTGTTAGAATAAACTGTAGCTCCCTCCATTTGTTGGTAAAATAACAAGACGCCCACCACAAATTGGAAGAGGAGCTCACCGAAAATCGCTTTATCCATAACAAAGACTGATCAATTTTAACCCTCATTTTCGTTTTAAGTTTCATTCACTGCTATCAAATTATTTTTTTCTACTTACAAATAATTTCATATTTTTAATGTTTCCTTCTCAGTCGGCAGCGGAATTAAACACAAAATACCGCCAAAGCACAGGTACAGATGACACTGCAAATATTAAACAGATTTTTTTATTTTTAAGTTCTTCAATGTTGAATTTAAATATTTCGGTTTCTTCAAAATGAGTCTAGTTATTCAAAAGTTCTTTATTATTCTTTTTTGTCTTTTTGTTTTTTTAAAAATCATTTATTTCCTCAAAATCAGATATTTTTCACTTACACTCACAGCACTTTGCACTAGACCACTTCAAAAACAACCCCACAAAAATAAATGTAAAATTTTTATAATAATATGAAACTAAAGCAGAATGAATTTGTAAGAATCGCTACGATTCCAAAGTTTTGACTGGATGCTGCTGTTGGCCAGTTGCTGGCTTATATACCGCGGCACATATTTTCAAAATAAAAATTCCGACTCACAAAACCTACTAACATGCCACCGAACTAAAGAGCTAAACGCTAGCAGAGAATGTTACGCAGCAGTGCAATCGAAGCAGTGCTGCCGATGTCGACGCAACTAGCAGCACAGAAACCGAAAGCCACAAGCCGAGCACAGCGCAAGCGAAGCGCTGTGTCGCCAACTGCTGTGCGTGGTACGTGAGTGTGCGCGCGCGCTCAGCGAGCTTTTGCGATTACAAAATATTCTGCGTACAACAACAAACAGCGCTATAGCAGTGTATTACGTTTGGTAGAGCAGATAACGGCCTCTAACGAAAGTGAGAGTGCCTTGAGGTTTCAAACTGCGCTACTTTGCTTCGTTTATTTGCTCGCTTCAGTGGTTGGCAAGTTTGTTGCTGCGGTCTTTTGATTTCTCTACGCTCAGCACTGCAATGCTTACGAAATGAGTGGTGAGCTTTTTGCGATCTGTGTTTGTAGTGGTGTGCCTGCTGATGTTGGCTTGTGTTAGTGTTGTTTGTATTTCGCTGGTATTAGTTTGCCGGTAAACAGTATGAAATTTTAATAAATATTTTTTTATAGAGAAAGTGAAAAGAATTTATTTGAGTTTTATGCGTAAAAATTTATTGAAAAATATCAGAAGCTATTCTTCTTCTTGTTTTAGTAGCTGGAACCGCTTTTTAATAACCAAAGAGTTTCTTGTTAAGTCGTTTTTCAAACTCACTCATACATACGCATTGAGAAATGATTTGCATGTATTTGTGACTCTCGTTAATTTTTTGGCTAAACCACGCACACTAACACTTTTTTGATACTCACACCAATTAAAAAATTTGGGTATTTGTATTGGGTATTTCTGTATGGGTGTTTAAATTTTAAATTTTTAAATTTTTCAAATTACTATTAGTTTTTTAGCACCACAATTGGGCCACAGCTGCAAGTATGAAATTTCTCTAATATTCTCAATTTCTTACATTTTAATTAATTAGTTTTTTTTTTTGTGTGACATGTACAATATATAATAGATACCATTAAATATATATATTTCCTAAAGTCAAAACCGTTGAAAGTGAAATGATTTTCAAAAGAAAAAAAGGTTTTGCAGAGAATTAAATACGAAGATTTTTATTTAATTGTTTTTTATTCCAATTTGCCAATAACAATATGCTACTTGAGAAGTGCTTATATACAAACCACGGTATATTACTATTTAAGTCATTTTCATTAAATTATTTTTAAAAACTGAACAAATTTCCATTTTAATGTATAGATATTTTTTTATTCATTTTTCAAAGTCACCCAAAAATTTTAGTTGCAAAAATATTAGATACTGTAATATTTTTGACATCTTTTTTTTACAAAGATGAACCTAGCGTTACCGACCTGCTGCCCAACCAATCGAGCCGCGTGCCTGATAATCGAAAAATTCGATAGACTGGTGATCGAAAAGCCAATAATAATCCGGACTGCCCTAAATTCGAGAATGATTGCGGAAGGTCGCGGCTACACTTTCCTCTTACCCCACATAACTGCAGATTTGTTCAAAAGCTGCTGTAAATTAGATGGGGAAAAGGAGAAGAAAATTTACTTAACTATTTAAAGCACTCAGTAAGTAGGTTTGATACAAAAAGGGAGTGAAGGGATTTAGTATTAAAATCGTTGCACAAACAACAAAAAGGATTGTGCATTTTAAAGTTTTTTCTGCATAAATGCAATGAAAGTGATCTTAAGTGTCTACATGATTTAATGGACGGGTCTTTATCGATTTATTGCGGTTTAAGATAAAACTTTAGACATTTTTCTACGACCGAAATCAACGAAAATTGCTTCAACGGTTACAAAACAGCAATTATATGGGTCACTTAACTCCTTAGTAAGCTAAGGCGCCTTTTGCATTATTTGCACAAGGATTTATGTGATTTCTTCAATGTAGTGTTGATAACGTTACATGATTTTTGTCTATATTGAGTCTGATGCTATCCGAAAGTCGAATTCCGTCTATTCCAAACGCATTAGATTTTATATTGTTGGCGGACTCAACAACTGCACACTTATCAATATTTGAGAACATGAAATCAGATATCATTCTAATGGTATAATTGCTATAACTTTCCCTACATGTTTTACTGTTACAGTCAGATTATTGTACAAATTTTTCATTTAACTCGTTCACGTTTATATACTCAGAAAGGAAATCAGTTTTATTTCCAATTGCTATTTCACGAATATAATTCCATGTTCTTTTAGAATTTCATGGCTTTAGTGACTTGTGACTTGTCTTCTGTGAGTCTTCAAAACGATATAGGTTGCTGCAGATCTCATACGTTGCCATTTCCGATGAGCCTTGTTGCGCTTATGAATAAGATGCTTAATATAAATATTGAACCATGGTCGATTACGCCTGTTGTTTGATTTAGTTACGAGCGGCACATATTGTTCAAATAGATTATTTATATTTGATTGGAGAAAGTTAATCTGTTCGTCTGCGGAGATCATCGTGTAGCCCGACTTCCATGGTGTGACATCAAATACTACGTATTTGATATTCATGAAATCTCTATTAGAATAGGAATAAAATCTAGCTTAAAATCTAATATCAAAAAAATGCAGTCGTGTTTGGAAAAATTCGGAACGAACAGCTGGTCAAACATTAGAATTTTTGACTTATCACTAAGGAAGGAATGTCCAACAAGGTGCTTTATGTTTCAGTGTAATGTGTTGCGATGAAGTAATCACCGCAAAAATACCTATATTTTACATTGCTTGGCATAGTTTGTTGAAAAATTTTAAAGATTTATTCCATGAATTGAAAAAAAACATCAACCGAAAAAATTACTTTTGCACATACAAAATAATTATTTCTGTGTTCCAATACTTCCGTGCATTTGAACAATGAGCACTTGATTATTTCTTCAGTGCTAATTACCGAAAACTGCTCGAGCTCATTGACCTAGTAAAGGAAATTTTAGTAAACATTTACATTTTCTATGCGTTATCGACCTTCTTTCTTATTCAGTTTCTTTTTTTTATGAGTGATCTTTTAACTTTTTACGCCAAACAATAATACATAGTTGCTTTTTCCACGTTTATGGCTTAGATTGAGTAAAACTTTTTTCTTGGTAAGTTGAGTTTGGGATCACTATATTTATCATATGTTGATACTCTCTAAAAATAAAAAAATAAATAAAAATTTATTTTAGGAATATGGGAAAAGAAATATAATTTCTTTTTAATCAATTATTGGAGTATACAAAAAAATATTCTGCAATTATTATTTTGTTACAAAGTGTGAAGAATTAAGTTTTTATTTAGCTCATGTTTTCTTGCAAAGCGTGAACGGGTTGACCAATTTCTTTCAAAGGATGAGACCAAGCACAGAAAAGTAAAAAGTTTCATGATCTACAAACTTTGGTCTTTGAAAATACTTACAGATATATATTTTTATTACTTTTCATGAAAGCGGCACACTCTTTTTTTAAGATTAACTTCTGACTAGGAAATTCGCACGAAATTATTAAAAAAAAAGTTTACATTTAATAAAAAAAATGGTTTCGTGCTTCCGAAGGAAATGTATTTGTTAAGCTGCCATAAAAATTTTAGATAAATCGATGTAATGTGGTCCGAATAATCTGTCCACCCAATTTGAAAAATGTGATTATGAGCGTTTAAAGTTTTCATTGTACTCAGCACACGCTCTGAGGGGCCGCAGCAAAATAAAAAGTTCACCTATTTGCAATACTTTTTTCACTCTAAACCCAAGTAAAAAAAACACCTAGGAAAAAACCTGAAAAAAAAAAACGAAAAGAAAAGCACTTGAACGTAAAAGAAAAACAAAAACACTTGAAAGTGATGGGGTTTCCAAAAAAATGAGAGTGTGGGCAAAACCTATAAAAAAAAAAAAACAGATATTTAGAAAATAAAAAAAGTGTTCTCCTTTTTTTTTTGAAATAGCTTCAAAACACAACATGCGAAGATGAAGATGAAGAATAAATAGGACATAATAATCAATTACTGTACTATAAGCAAAGACTAAAATATTTAAAGAGTGAAAATTTTGAAAAATCGTCTGGTGTTAATGATCTTTTAATGTATTTTTGTATGAAAAACCTTTTGTGGGTTGCCCTTTTGAACTTTAAATTAATAATTTCTTCTCACATCGAAAACTGCTCTAATTTAATATCGATTGTATTAAAATAAGGGCATCTGGAAGTTCAACCGATTAAATATTTACATAATCACGTCTACCCGCATTAAAAAAATCGTTCTGACCGCATCAACCACAATTAGTATCAAACAGAAATTTTATTGGTCTAACAAATTAAACATTAAACTTGTTTTTTTTTTGAGAATGTTTGCTTTTGACTGTCATTTGGCACTTGATTTGTAGAAATGGTTTTCCCGTCTCAAATATTTGATTAAAAGTTTTGTTTTTAAAAAGTAAGTTGTTTGGTTGGTTTGATTATTTTGATTGTTCAAATTTATAAGGTCAATAAAAGTAAATTGCTTAAGGAATTAAATAACTTTTTATTTGGCAGAATCAGGTGTTGAACTTGACAGGTAGGATTTGAACCTATTGATGTGTGCCACACTTAAGCTTTGATCTTAGGTTTTAGCATGAATTACCATGTCGAATTTATTACCCCATTAAAGACTAATATTTTTTTTTATAACAAGAATCGTGACGACAACAAAAAATGTCAATGAGCCAAAAAGAACATAATATTGAAATACGCTGGGTTTATGAGTATTACAAAATATGACTACTAAAAAAATAAAATAAAATAAAATAAAATAAAACAAAACAAAACAAAAAAAAATAAAATAAAATAAAATAAAATAAAATAAAATAAAATAAAATAAAATAAAATAAAACAAAGTAAATTAAAATAATATATAATTAGATAAATTAAAATAAAATAAAATTACAAAATAATATTATGCCATCCGTTTGAAATTTTATACTGTACTTGAC